GTAATTTTTTTCCAGGCGTCATTTATTTTTCCGGGCGTAGCTCATTTGCATTTTTCGCCTCATATTCCTGCCCAATTCCTCTTGGGTTACGCCCGGAATCTGTGTATCACCATATATAGAGAGACAAACTGACGCCCGGAATTCACTCTCCAAGTACGCCTCAATTCCCCCTATATTCCGGGCGGAACATTTCGTACAGGTGCGCACGCGTGCAATGCTAAAATTTGAATGAACTTGGTACCCTTCTGGGTAAACGTTGTTAAACGGATAATAAACGTCGTTTTGTTGATAATTTTGTTAAGAATTTGATCACACTCAACATGACTCGTACATATTCCTTTTCTTATATTTTAATGATTTCATGTCATTATCTGCGTTTATTCCCCCGTATAAAACCACTACAATGCTCTGAAAAACGTTCGCTGAATTTTTGCTTCCTGGACAAAAATTCATTCGGTCATTTGCATATTCCGATGACCTTTGGCTTGACCCTTCTCGGAATCAATTTCGGTTGATGATGGCGGACGCTAAACCAAAATCGAATCGTGGAAGAAAACCCACACTGACTGATTCTGGGCGGAAAAGAAAGAAAAAGGAAACTAATGCTTTAATTAACAGGTCCCGTTTATATGTTGGTGAGCAGTACGATCGCTGGAACACCTTGAAATTGACCCTTCGTCTACAGACGCATGCTGAAGTTGCCAAAGTTTTGCTTGATCGGTATGTATCGATACATTACATGATCAAATCATGTCAGCGTTGTTAGAAATATTGTCAAATATAAGAATTAGAACCGGACTTAATTTATCAATTTATCGTTGTCTTTAATTATCTCAATATATTCCATTTTATGCTGTCTTATATAGGTGTAAATTTTATCAGAATAACTTGTTGCGAGATCGAGAAGATTTTTCAAGGACACTGTTTACATCAGTGGGGCCCCCCTAAGGGGTTTTTGTAAAAAAAAAAAAAAAACAGAGAAAGACACGAGAAATTGAGCATTTATCAAGTTGATTCTCTAAAAATGACATCATATTTATTTTAAATAAATGTTATAATAATATAATATAATTTATTATATCTGTTATACATATATTTAAGGTATGAACAAAGCGAAAAAGATTTTGTACAGCCAGTTCTTCAGACAAGGAATGTTGCAATGGCTACACCTGATTTAACAGTAAAACATGGTCTGACATCAACACCAGGACCTAGTCATCGCCCTTTTTCACACATCCCATGTGATGTTTCAGGGATTTCCAACACAGATTCTACAGAGAGGTAATTTTTATATTATTTGTTGTAAATTACACTCAAATTTTTGGTGCTTGTATGTATGTGTGTTTTCTTCTTTTTTGTGAAAAGCAGACAAACCTTTGTACATTTCATTAACTATTTTAAATATAATTACAATATTTCTTTTTCAATTTCCCTCTGTAATTTCAGTGATGGGGCAATATCAGGCGTAGAAGCATTACCAACCAAGAGGCCAAGGATGGAAAAATCAAAACAATCAACAAGTTTTCTTAATCCTTTAGAGTAAGTGTATAGATATCAAATTTTGTTTGTTTGATCAGGCTATTAATGTACATTGAAAGTAATTATTCTTTTTATTTGCCAGGGTATTCTATTATTATTATATTTGTAGGTTGTCCATTATAGATGTATCTGATTCAGAGTGCTACGAAAGCCACAGTTCTGATGTCGATTACGAGCCAAGTTTAAATATCACTTTGAGGTAATTTTTTTTGCTTTTTCTCTAGTTTCAGTCTTGTTCAGTACATTTAAGATTATATTTGTACAAATATACCGGTTATAAAATTATTTCAGACCCAACAAGGATGGTTTCAATTCTCTAAAGATTGTCAATGATGAGATGAATTATGATGGTTCTGATGATGATGAAGATACAGATAAAATGGAGGAAGGCGATGTAGATCCTGGGCCTGATCTTATCAAGATAACTAACTGTGATGTGGAGAAGCTGACCTCTGATCAGCCATTCTTGGTCTATTACCAATGCCTGGTGCAACTGGTAGATATCTGCATTGTAAAAAAATGCAAAGAATGTGGAGCAGATATAGAAATGTCGAAGAACATCATTGGGTCAGCATTACATTTGAAGTGGGTGAGCAAATTTATCAACAGTTATGATGATTAAGCTGAATATGGAATATTGCAGATAATATTGCAGATATTCAATCTGTGGATATAAATAGCCACTGGTTTGGATGTCAAATTATAAATTGATAAACTGATGATAATCAGCATGTTTTTAATTTCATTTCAGACATGTAGAAAAGGACACATTGTAAAGAAATGGTGCTCGCAGCCAGTTTTGAATATGAGGATGAACAGTGGGGATCTGCAGTTTGCATCTGCCGTTCTGCTGTCAGGGAACAACTTCCAAAAAATTTCTCTATTCGCCAAATTTCTTAACCTGCCTGCAATCAGCAACACGACCTTTCACAAAATTCAGAGGACATACCTAATACCATCAATTGATAAATTTTGGTCAGAAAAGCAGGAAGAAACCATCAATCTTTTTCGTGGTCAGGAATTGGTTATACTTGGTAAATAAAATATGATTTTGTCTAGTGTTAATTGTATGTGTATACATGTACTTTTTAGTTTAAAAGTTGGAACAATTCTTTTTAACACTTTAGGCTTAAACATGGACTGTATGTAAACATATGTATGTTTTTTTGATTAAGCTTTTACATAATTTTGCTTTTTGCAGGTGATGGTAGAATGGACAGTCCTGGGCATTCAGCCCAGTACTGTTCCTACACATTCATGGAATATACCACGAAGAAGATCCTCTGCATAATTACCATGGATAAAAGAATGACAGACCTCAAAAGTACAAATTTAGAAAAGGCTTGCTTTATGAAAGGATTACAGTTTCTTCTAGACAGGGGTTTGAATGTTGTGGAAGTCGTAACCGATGCTCACTTTCAAGTTGCTTCGATCATGAGTAAGTTCCATTCAAAAAATTTCTATCTATATTTAATTCACTATATTCATATTAAATTGTATATAATAATAAATGAAATTATTTTATTCTGCTTCTTTTCTATATGTTATTTTTATTTTCATTTCTCAGAAAAAGATTACCCACACATTTGCCATTCATTTGACATCTGGCATGGTACAAAATATTTGGGAAAGAAAATAATGTCAGTAAGTATGATCATTAAAATACAATGAGAGCATTTTATTCATTTATTAGAAATTGATTTGTTCAGAAAGAAATTTTTTATTTTTGTTTTTATCTCAGATTGCACAAGAGTCGGATAAAAAGGAATTGCTGCCTTGGACGAAAGACATCATGAATCATTTTGGTATGCAGCACAAGTTAGTGATACATATGAAACTTTCATAGTAAGTATTTTCTAAACTTGGTCAAGAATGAAGTAGCCACTGCTACTTAAATTAAATTCTTTTAATATTTTACCAATCATTTTCAGGGTGTATGGTTTGGACTACTTCATCATGTCACTGATGAGCATGAATGGATTTTACCGTACAATGACAGTGGAATAAATGCATGTCAACATGGTCCCCTGACTGAGGAAAGAACCAAAGGGTGGCTGGAAAAGAATTCCCCTGCTCACAATGCCCTCCGCTATGTTGTCATGGATAAGAGACGACTGAACCAGATACACTACTATTTAAACTGCAGGTAAAACATGTTTGATATTAGATATGTATGTACATGTATAGTGTTCAAACTTTTGTGAATGCATTGTTCAGTCTACATAATAGATCTTTTTCATACTTAGGAGTACTGCTGAGCTTGAAAATTTTCAAAATTTGATACTGGTGTACGCCTCAAAAAGATTTTCCTACAGTCCACCCACATACAGGGCTAGGAATCTTCTTGCAGCCCTAGATCACAATGGTCACGCAGAGAGGGAGATAAAGACCAACAAGGATGGAAGTGTTAGGTCTGTATCCAATGTTTATGTAATTTGGAATCTCCATGCAATATTTTAAATGATGACAAGTTTTTTGGGAGAAGCTTGCATTTCATATCACAGTATTTTACAATGAAATGGAGGTTTATAAATCTATTACAGGTATCAGAGGTCTTTTAACAAAAAAAGTGGGATATGGTCCGTCCATGAATTGAAGGTGGATAAAACCTATAGTTACATACAATCTCTAGTGGAAAAGATCGTGAAAAGAAGATTAAATGATGAAGAGGGAATGAGTGGCAATGTTGTCTTGGAAGCAGATGATCCAAGAAGAATATCGAAAACTCTGGCCCGCATTCCTCCTCCCCCAACTGAACAGCTTGTGAAGGAGAGGAAGTCTCGGTTTGAAGATCCAGACAAAACATTGGACTATTCATGGGACTCTTGAAAATATATTTATTTGTTTAGAATGCAGTGCATGCAAATATACTAGATATAAGGTCATGTGATACATCATAAAATCCCTATTAACCGCCCCTGCCACTATAAGCGCCCCCTAGGTTTTTTTTTCAATTATCAGGAAATAAGAGCCCCCTGCACAGTGATTAAAATAATCTAGAATCGTATCAAAAGTCTGCCAAAATTTCAAGAAAGTAAAAATGAAACTTGCCTATTATCCAATTTCTCAGTGGAAAATGAATCATTTAATTAGTATAATTTGGGTGGATTATCTTCATTGAAAGTAAAGTTAGACAATACTTTAGTGGTTCTTTGAATTGTTTTTTTTTTAAAGAATTTTATACTCCCCGCTTGAAAAGCAGGAGGTTATATAGTTTGAAGTTTAAATTATGACATTTATAATATCATATCAAGAATACCAAAATAACTGCCAACTTTTCGGAATTTTCTATTCACCCGGGTGGCTAATAGGGATTATATGATAATATTTTTTACCAACTCATAAATTGTACATTCAATATATTTATTTATTAAAAGACTGTCAAATATTCATGAAAATATTGTGATAACAAACAGTAATTCAAACTCAAAAGTTCATTTATCAAATTGCCTAAATTCAAGATGGAAGGGACTGTTATGCAAGTCTGCCATGCACAAACCCTGTATATTGTCCAAAAGGATCAGGAAAAGTATCCCTGATCCTCCACACACAACAGCTTGGAATCACTCGCCGATTCCCAGCACCAAGCCGACCATACTGCCAGAGGATGTATTGCCTGTAGGCAGTATGACGGTTTCCTCTGTTCCAGTCATTGTCATTTGGAACTGCAAGGACATCTTGCCTATAAGTCCTGGCAACGTGGAGGATTAACTCGTCTAACACCACAAGATCAAAATCCTAAAAGCATAATTGAAACTAATCAAGATTTCATATACCATGTTATTGAGAATGAGGTTAATATCAAAGATTATATATAAATTTAAATATAAGATGAAATTTTAGATAAGTATTTTGTTAATAACACATTATAATATTGAGAATCAACTAACTCTGATCCTAGAAAAGCAGTTTTCTGGCAGCTGTCCACAACATAGCCGTTCTGCTTCAGTTGGCATCTCTCGGCAGTTCCTGCAGGAACACCAGTCTGGACTTCCCTGGTCTGGTGATGGGTGATATCCTTGCTGCACTCTAGTCCTGCTTCCTGCCTCAAGGATGTCAAAAACAAAAGCTGGGTTCTTTTGCGATATATCAAAAAGCAGCTCCCGCACATTCTCTTCAGGGAGATTACTAATGCGCTCCTGGAATTAAACCCACAATCATATCATAATGTAATCTAAAAATTTATTTAATAAATTTGCTACGTTAATAATATTTTTACACTGATATCAGTAATATAAGGATATGGAAATAACGAACAGTATTCAATCTCAACGTCCATTAAACAAATATACAAAACAAGAGCAGAGCAAACACGGACCTCCGAAATTCCTGCCTTCAGTTCTGTGGTTCTTTCTACTCTGGCAGTTGCTGCTATGTCAGCTCTGTTAGGGGTCTGAACTCGACCACCCCGGCCTCGACGTCCACGGGTCAGCCCTCTAACTCTACTTCTGATCGTGCGCCCAGCTCTCCTTACTCTTCTCTGACTGTGCCCTCCTCTTCCTCGTACCACTCTATCTACATTCTCATCACTTATATGTTCCTCTTCAGAAGTCTGCAACATCAATGAGTGACCATGCATATCATTGTTTTTATGTTTTGCACAGTACATTACCATAGCCATGCTTATTCAATAATTATATCCATTTAATCTTTTTATGCAGTGATAATATACGGTATTCAAATAATTGGTGAAAAATCTTCTTTGATTATTCATAGATAATTATACTAGTATAGATCAAATTATCGAAATATTTTTGTTTTCGATTTCCCCTTACGGGGCCCCTTTGAAGTCCGAGAAACGTAAGGCTCATGTTCTTAGAGTAATAAGCATCTTATTTCATTTACCGCTTCCCTGAATGATTATTATAAAAAATATCTTCTGTCAAAATACAAATAAGATGCTTTTGTACAATGTTTCACTAAAAAAAAAGTTCTAAAACTTACATTTTGTGCATCGGATTCCATGCCTGCAGACTTTCGGTAATCTTCGTTATCAGCAGCGCGCGCACTACGAAGCATCTTCGGAACAGGCTACGATGCTTAATTAGGTGAACCAGATTGCTTTTATTTACACACATTACTGGGATATATTGGCATAAGTTATGTGTTTTAAACCATAAAATTTTAAATTTTTGTCAACATGATACGTAAGGAAAACGTAGGTATTGATTAAGACTAAAAAAAATGTGTTTATTTGACCTTTATTATTCCTTTAAAGTCTCAAATGCATAATGTTCGTCTTATTTAATGAAGCTTACAGGGAATATGGCACCAAAAGGGAGATGGGGAGCGTTTGGGGAACATCTGTAACGGTCCCCGTTACAATTAGCACTAGTTTATTTAGACTTGTCACGTGATGTCGACGTCACATGAATTTAGCAAATATACTTGCAGTTTAGAGGTTAACTATAAATTCCAATATTCCAAAGGCATAATCAAGTTAAAAATCTGACTTTAATTTATAATCCTTTTCAACACTATAGGTAGTTTGTGAAAAGAGCTGCAAACCTGTAAAGATTCCTTTTTTAATTGCTAAAATTTAGATTGTTGAACGGCAATTGGAATATTTTGCTTGTCAACTACATTTAATATAGCTATAATTAATTTAGTTGCAAGATTTCATGAGGTTCGCAACACTTTTCAGATACATTTATGCTTCTTGAGTTTATGTGTGAAAACTTGACAAGATGCATTGAGGGTATGCCCTTGCAATAATGCAATTTATTACACAACACAGTTAAGGCTACAAAAAGGAGGCGGAGCCTATTTTGTACGGGAAAACTTGACTATGACATTATACACAATATACGTCATAAACATTTCTTTAAAAACCACAAAATGAGTTTATCTGCTAATTTAACCAGTAATATCTACATTTGTGGTATGTCTCTATTATATAAACATACAGAGAGAAAATATCTTCAATTCTGTATGAAGTTTGTCCGAGGTCAGAGGTCAATACATGACCTAATCGCACGGCGCAATAATATCTACCGATACGTAAAATATAAAATGACCTGCTTTACTTGCTTATCATGTACAAAAATGAACAAAATAAGAAAGTGAAATGATTAATACATTGTAAATAAGTATTTCAGATTGTTGGCTATCGATTCAACCTGTGTACATAGAGAAAATTAACACGTTAGGGGCCTAGCTTTGTTTACATTTTTTTTTCACTTTTGTCAGCTGCACAGTCTCTAACGGTCATCCTTATTTTGGGGGTAGATTTTCATGATAAACTAGTATTTTATCTTTAAATACTACTCACGATAAATGTGTAAATCTGCTGGAAAATATCAGTGCAATCATGCCATGAACAGCTGTCAAACACCCCGGTGTTTTCGTAGTTCAATGTAAACATGGTAAAGCTGTCGCCAGTGTCTCAGTGTTGATCAGCGATTTACAATAACTATGCCTTTAGCTACTGACATCGTAGAATGTTTTTGATCAAATTGCAAATTAACTGGTTCCGACAAGTGTCGCAATCCATCGGATCCACTCATCCCTTTCCGGCGACCGAAATTCCTCAAACTTTCTACCATCAAACTTCGAACGTGTTTCTTGTGTCTTTTCAGCATCGATTATCAATTTTCACGAATAAAAATATTCCCAGACAACAATCTGTTCACTATTACTGATCACAATTAGCCTTTTACGAAATATTCCCTTCGAAATAGATTCCTTAGCCTAATGAATTCGAAGCGTAACCGCCATGCAAGCCGATTTACACCTTGCGTCATTTTTCAAAATCTACGACGGACGGTTAGTGCAATAATTAAATTCGAAAATATTCAATTGACTGTCTCAAATGTATATATAAGTAATAAATAACAAGTTTATAAACTTCAATGGGAATTGAAGTGGGTCAGTACGTGATCAAATCTTCTGAGAAGGCCTTCGGCCTTCACAGGATTTGATCACGTGACCGACCCACTTCAATTCCCATTGAAGTTTATAAACTTGTTATTTATTTCTTAAAGAAATCATCAAACTACATAAAAACTTACTACAGCGTGTTGTTTTGTCGTTAGTAAAATCCCATATAACAAGTTATAAACATGTCACTGATCCCAATACACTTGCCAAAATGACGTCATTTTTTACAACTTGACGTAGTTTGTATGCAGTGAGAGACAGATCAAATAATATTTTCTCAACAAAATATGCATTCTCTAATTAAATAAAATATTAATTACAGATATTCTATGGGCCAATAACTTGAATTAAATGTCTTTTTTGCTATTTTGTTAATATATTTTCTGTACATAGCGTAATTAATTGACACTTACGTATATTTGTATGCAAGTACATCGGAGGGTAATGAGGGGGGGGGGGGTCTTAATAAATCGATCTAGTGCAAGGGCATATACTCTATGGATCAAAGTAAACTTTTACATTTCAACTATAAAACTATTAAGGTGTCTGAAAAGTGCTGCGATCCTGATGAAATCTTAAAAAAACATTTTGATTATATCAATATTTCATGCCGCTGGCCAGCAAAAAAAATATAGTATTCGGTGATACAAGTATAATTTTAACAATGAAATTGCAAAATTTAGAAAGGGTTGCAGCACTTTTTGGAAACTAAAATGCATGTTGAAAATATTTATATACTAAACTTTGAAACTTAACTTGGTTATGCCCTTGCACTAATGATATTTATATGTAACATTAAAACTTCAAGTCGATGTGCTTAAATCGCGTGACTGCCGCATCAGGTGACTAGTCTACATATAAAATATAATCGTCCTCGATATGCAGTTCTTAATCATAATTACAATTATCCGATATGAATAATGTACTTAAAATAATTGCCATCCCGATTACGAATACATTTTTAAATACAAAATTTAGTCGATATTTCCATTGCGCAAGTTAACTGTACTGTACGGAAGCCCATTAGTGCAAAACAAAAATATATAAAGAAAAACGGAATTAATATATAAAGGAAAACCAAAAATATATAAAGGAAAACAAAAAATATATAAAGGAAAACCAAAAATATATAAAGAAAAAACCAAACATTTAGAAAGAAAAACCAAACATATAGAAAGAAAAACCAAAAATATATGAAGAAAAACGGAATTAATATATAAAGAAAAACGAAATTAGTATAAAGAAAACGGAATTAATATATAAAGAAAAACGAAATTATTACATAAAGAAAAACGAAGTTGTTAAAAGTAGAAAAACTAAGATACGGAATTTATTGAGGTGCACGGTAAGGGTCTGAACCCATAAATCATTAGTGCACCGCGTCTGATAGTCCTGATTTTGTTTCAACAACAAACAAGCGTGGTGTTTGCCTTTACATTCAACTTTTCCGTTTTCCATAAACGACATCAATCAGCCAGACTTGATAATGAGTTATTGGGAATGTCGAAATATAATAGAATTTTACCAAATACAGTGTGTACTTATAAAATCACGGCCTCGATTTAAAGAAAGCAGCAGCACTTTTCAAGTTAAGGAATATATCCTTTATCTATATTCAAAAAATGGTTCAAATCTATGCAGTGTATGCCCTTGCAAAAGTACGATTTTACGAGGCATCGCGATGTAAAATATACGTAACCTGTACATAAAACACGATATAATTAATAAAATACATTCTCTTTGTAGTTAATTAACAATCGCACTCAATAAAATCTATAACGTGGTATTTATCGACTATTTAAAATCTGTAAATAATATTCCGTTTAATAATAAAACACATTTTTCATTGATAAACAATTTCTCAATCTGCCTCTCACAGCACACGAAGTACGTCATTTTTACCAGTATGACAGCATGTTTACAAGTTCAGTGCGATGAGTGCTTAGTTTTTTACCAGCTACAAGGGATTTAACTAGCAACTTTTTTAAATGCATTGATAAGTTATAATGTTGTTTATTATGCGAATACTGCTCAGAGTTGCAAATTATTTCATATACACGTATTATGAAAACTACATAAATGTCACATTTTTGTGTGACGTCATAGTATACTTTTCCCGTATAAATTAGGCCACGCCCCCTTATTCAAGCCTTAACAATCCTGCGTTCATACAAACACAACATAGTATCACTTGTCTGGAGAACGTAGGGACAGTTTATAAATAAAAGACTAGAATAGAAATCGCATCGAAGTTAACAGCCTTTTATTTAATTGCAAATGATATTTGAATTGAGAACAAAAGACATTTTTCATTGTACAAAATGTGACTTGATCAGCATCTCACTGTATAAAAACTGTGTTATTTCTGCGATGCCGTCACATTGACAGGTGCTTTGCGATCGATACATCTTTCATAAGCTGTTTTGCGGTATTTAACAAAACTGCATGTAATAGTAAGATTGTTTGTAGTATACAGCTATCCAGCTGTTTGAAACATAATGTAGCAAATAATTTCATTTAGTGGTATATATTTTGAAGACCTTATATTATATGTGACTAATTACAAATTAGGCCCCGCCTCCTTACTTTAACCTAAAATGTGCTATGCAATCTACACTTTTCAAAAGTTATGTCCCATGACCGCCATCTTAGGTGATAAACCTATACAATCCACACAATATCCTTTGAAGTTTTCAGGTTTGTACAGTCCCTGAAACGTTCTATTTTCCTATTTTCCTGTTCGCTCACCGTTCGTTCACCATTCGTTCAGCGTTCCTTCACCGTTTCTTCAGCGTGCGTTCAATGTTCGCTCTCCGTTCACAGTTTTGCGTTCTCTGTTCACCGTGCGCTGTGTTTACCGTTCACAAAACGTTCAACGTTCGCTCTTCGTTCCGTTTACTTTGCGTATTCCTTGCTTTTACCTTTAACTTATCGTTCAGTCTGCATTGTCATTTGGCACTCCAAAGTGAAAGGACAAATCTTTTTTGATGGTAAGGATTCACACGTTTTTTTTAATTAAATAATTAAGATATCGATTTTTGAAAAATAATTATTTCATTACAAAGAGGATATACTATGTTAATATTTCTATTAATTTCTATTAATTTGGCTGTTACTTTATCCATGAAATTTCCCTAGAAAATGATATAATAAGTACCAAAAATTATGCAGAACGATGCTAAAATATTAAATCTAAATAAGGGCAAAGTACAAATGCTACAAGCACAGCTACATTTTTTTTGCAATGTAAAAGACAGCCAATCGTTAATGGATTTTCTTTTACCAGACAAGAATGAAAAAAAAAATTCTAACAAGTATTTTTAAAAATATGCACGAAAACATATTAAAACTACATGTAGATCTTAGAATTATGAACAGTACTGCAGATTTTCAGTTAATTAAATACAGTATATCTAGAGCTAATTAATTTGATAGTGTTATTTTAAATTTAAAAAAAAAGACCAACTGTTTAAAATGTAATAATTACGAGGGTTGTCCGTAAAATTCGTGGATAAGCCAAAAATTTAATAAAAGTTGTGTCATTGATATTTATTATTGGCATATTTCTAATCTTTTACTTAATGGGAATTGAATAATGCAAAATTTTTTCAATTTCAAATGTTTAATTACAATTTTATGTTCATAATTAGACTTGGAATGGAGATCCAGAGGACCGCAAAATTTTGATAAAAATAACTTTTCATTTTTTTTTTTATTTTATTTGTATTTTAAAAAATTCTTGGGAAATCTGAAAAAATTTTACATTATGAAGTTGACAGAAGTTATCACGTCAAACCTGCAAAATGTGAACGTTCAAAATTTCAAAATGGCTGAGGAATCAGCATTAGAACTTATTGAGACAGGATCGGAATCGTTCAAAAAAGAGACTTTTCGGAATAGGTGACGCAGTGAACAGTGATAAAATTCTGCGTTGACTCCGGAAAAAACCTATAGAGACCAATACATTCTGTAAACAATTGGGAAAACATAGTGAAGAAAAGAGTTCACTAGTATTTAAGTGGCATATAATATTTTCGGACGAGATGAACAGTTTACAGGATGACATGCGTGAAGAAAACCATTATTTCGAGATTGCCGTGCTGTAAAATTTGAATTTTGTAATGTGAGCATGCCGTATTACCGTAAATGAAAAGAGTGGAGTGGGCTCATATAGACCACGGTTTGAATTTCGCACGCAATGACGTCATCAAACTTTCGACCAATCTGAAAGCAGCATTTGAATTTTGGTCACGTGACCCTACAGGCGGGAATTTTATTAAATCACCTATGTTTATAGGGGTCAAGGGTCCAAAAAAAAGGTGTCCTAAAGGGTATCGTGCGACATATCAAATGAAAGGTCTCGACGAGTAGAGCTCAGCCCGAGGATGGTCCGGGGTCATTAAGTGCAAAATCGAAAAATTACTCAAAAGGTATCGTGTGACCTATCAAATGGAGGGTTTCGATGAGTAGAATTCAGCCCCGGGGTGTTCCGGGGGTCATTAAGTACAAAATCAAAAGGTTACCCAAAGGGTATCGCGCGACATATCAAATGAAAGGTCTTGACGAGGAGAACTCAGCCCGGGGGTGGTCCGGGGTCATTGAGTGCAAAATCAAAAAGTTACTTAAGATGTATCATGTGACATATTAATTGGAAGGTCTAGACGAGGAGAGGTCAGCTCGGGGTTGTTCCGGGGTCATTGAGTGCAAAATCAAAAAGTTACCTGAAATGTTTAATGTGATATTTCAAATGAAAAGTCTCGAAAAGTGGAGTTTAACTCGGGGTGTTCCTGGGATCATCAGGTGCAAATTCAAAAAATAACCTTAAGGTAGCGTGTGACCTATCTTATGGACGATTCTGGGGTTTTTCCGGGCCATTAGGTGCAGTTTTTAAGACTTTCCTAATAGTATAAATGCTCTGAACAATCGTGAATCTCTTCATTATCAAACAGAATGGCAACGACGCCAGTCCTTCGATCTTCGAAGGGCAAACACCTGTTTCCAAGCAACAAACCTTATGATTTCACCGTCACTTTGCCAAAAACGTTGGTGTAAAAGGAACAGTGGACACTAGAATTATGTGAATTTTATATCACAACCCCTGTCAAGACCACAAAGAAGGAGCTTTTCATCTACTGTGACGCATGTGACATGTCTGTAGTGGGTGAACAATACAGACCATTGCTAAGGCGTGTTGTTTTGGGGTCCAACAAGAATCAAATCTTCACGAGACCGTACCCAGTTCTGATTCAAATCCCAGAGTTGAAAAAGATACGCCTGGAAATAAGAGATAAAGATTATGAGCATGCCACCTTCTTGAATGGCGATATAAGCCTGATTCTGATATTTCGACCCGCAACCATGACCAGTTCCTTTGCTTAAAAACTATAAGAAGGTGATTCAAGAATAAATTGGTCACATTTTAAGAGTGTCTGCGGAAGAGTCAGCATGCATAAAGTCTAGTGCAACGATTGCCGAGGCTGGTTTTCCTAAAAGGATGTCTTAAAGCGGCATCAGCGAAGTGTAAACGTAATGATGGGAATGCAGCCACCACCACCATCGTCGCCACCGCAGGTGATCACGCCGCCTCTGCCACCGCCGCCGGAATTCACGCCGCCGCCATTCAAGCCGCCGCCGCCGCTGAAGATGATCACGTCGCCACCGCCGCTGGAGTGCACGCCGTCGCTCCTCAAGCCACCACCGCCATCAGCGACTTTTCCTTTACAGCAACAGCACTAGGACTTTGTCTTCAGGCATCCATTTACTGCGAATATTTCTGGCCCCACGTGTTGTGGCAAGACGTATTTCTGTAAACTGCTCTTGCAACACTGCCTGAAAATAATATGGCCTCCTCCTGAGAGAATTGTATGGCTCTACAAACGTTGGCAACCACTGTATGATGTCATTCAGAGTACCGTTTATCCCAAGGTCGAATTTATTCAAGGAATACCTTTGGATCTTGATCAAGATTCCTTTATACATTCCAGAACGAGGAATCTCGTTATTTTGGATGATCTGATGTCTACGGCTTCCAAAGATTCCAGAATCAACGAATTATTTACGGAGGGCAGTCATAACAGAAATATGTCCGTCATAGCCATCAATCAAAACCTATACTACAACAAAGATCCCACCTAGAGACGAAATTGACATTACCTGGTCCTGTTTAACAATCCTGTGGACAGACAAGAAGTTATGACCTTGGCTTGCCAGATGTATCCCGAAAATCCTCAACACCTGCTGAGACATTACTTCCAAACCTTATGGATACCTGTTGTTGGATTTGAAGCCCACTAAACCCGAACATCTGCGCATGCGCACTGACGTCTTGAATTCTATCAAACAGCAAGAAGCAGAGAATTTCCATCATTCTTCGACAGATATTACTACCGATCGGACGTACCACGTGTCTGTTCCTTCAACCTACCAATCCATCGGGTCGGATTTTCAACACGTCACCCCTAAAGAAGATATGCCTTCCTGTGACGATTGTGGTCTGGTCTTTAAAAACGTCCACGACCTTCAAAGACATGTGAAAAGATGGTGTCCCGAAAACGGACAAAAGAAAGATGATGTTGCCCTCATGGAGGTGGATGAATCAAATGCCTCCCCTGTCGGACCAGAGGAAGAAAATGATGACGAACACGAAGTCTTTAACTTTCTCATGGAAAGGGCCAAAGAAGACAACGAAAAACTATGGGACCAGAAATATGATAAATACATAAAGGAAGGTCTATTACGAGAAGACGCTCGAGTTCAAACAGAGGTAAAAATGAACTCTCAAGACCTTAAGAAATTCTCTGAAAAGTATGGACAACTCATCCTGTACATCCTTCAGTTACAAAACGGATCCATTCACACAAAAGTCATGGATGATGTTAAAGATTTCCTGTCCGCCGGCTATGACGAACGCAGAGCAATCAGAAAGGCGTTGAATAAGAACCGTCCTGTCCTTGAAGAAATGTGGGATCCCGAGAGCGATTTGGAGATCGTTGATGCTTCCGAAAGACCAAGAGGGAAAGGATGACGATAGCGAGATGGAAGAAGATAGTGATGAATTTTAAGAAGTCTAAATAACATTTTGAAACTATTCCAAATTATTGTTTGAAGAATGGACTATCGATTATATACCGTTGCATTTACTTGAATAAACAGTGAAAAAAAGCATTGTTGTTTTTTATGTCATTATCGGTCACGTGCTTAGGTATTAAATAAGGAGTGGAAATACATTTAAGCTTCATTTTAACGCTATCCATGCCAGAAGAAACATGTCTTGGGAAGATTATCTCAAGCAAGTGTATTACGATCTATCCACAGCTTGTAGTTTCACTGGAGTGAATAGATTATTCCGATACGTTCAAAAAGAGGGAAAATATGGTATCAGCAAGTACAAGGTACGCAAATGGTTACAGAGACAAGAACCTTACAGTCTTCAGCGACCCATGAAGCGACATTATCGTCGTAATCAGGTGGTCGTCGTTGGTTTCGATGATCAATGGGACGCTGATCTCATGGACATGACAAAATTCAGCAAAGAAAATGAGGATGTGCAGTTTGTGCTGTTGGTCATCAATATCTTCTCCAAGTACCTGTGGATGCAACCTTTAAAGGATAAGAAGGGGCCAACGACAGCCCGGGCGTTCGAAAACGTATTGTGTGAGGGGAGGCAACCTCCGAAACATCTCACGGACAAAGGACAAGAATTTCGATCAAAAGCCTTTAATAATGTTTTGAAGGATCACAACGTAGAACATTTTTATTCTCAAAACACCGAAGAGAAAGCCAACTATGCAGAAAGAGCCATCAAGACGATCAAAACTACATGACATTTAAACAATCCCAACGATACATTGATCGTCTTCAGGAATTCGCTCGGAGTTACAACAAGACATACCACGGCACTATTGACACCGAACCTGAACCCGTTAGACCAAACAACGAAGAAGAAGTGCGCGTGTCAACATTCCAGTCTCAAGAAGAGATCCCACTCAAGCAATCAAAGTGGCCCTACAAGTTCAAAGTGGGTGATAAAGTGCGCATTTCAAACATATCATCCATTTTTGACAGTGAATACGATCAAAAGTGGTCTGGTGACATTTTCATCGTGTTTCGACGTTTCCCGAGGAACGGCATTCCAGTATACAAATTCAAGGACTACAATGACGAAGCCATTACGGGGACATTCTATCAACCGGAACTCCAAAAAGTAGACGTTAGAGACGAGGATACGTTTAAGATTGAATGGATCCTCAAGACTCGTGGAAGAGGACCAAACAAGCAATATTTTGTTAAATGGCTGCATTGGCCAAAGAAGTTTAATTCTTAGATAAATGCTGATGACATGTATCCATAACATTGTGCAGTTATCATTGTTTCGCTTAAATTAAATGTATACAGATTTTTATACAAAATATGACTCTGCATGTCTTGCAATAAAATATAAACCAAAACATGTGTTATTTTTATTTGCGTTTGATGACCCCTATAGACCCCTGGGCTGGACGTTATTCGTCAAGACCTTCAATTTGATAGGTCACAGAATACTCTTTGGGTAACCTTTTGATTTTGCAATTGATGACCCCCGGAACTCCCCTGGGCTGATCGAAACTTGATAGGTCGCACGATACCTTTAGGTAACCTTTTGTTTGTGCACTTGATGATCCCAGAACATCCCCAGGCTGAACTCGACTCAACGAGACCTTCCATTTGGCATGTCACACGATACCCTTTGGGTAATTTTTTTTATTTTGCACTTAATGACCCTAGACCACCCCGGAATGACCTCCACTCATCGAGACCTATTTGATTTGTCGCATGATACCCTTTAGTAACCTTTTGATTTTGCACTCAATGACCCGGAACAGCCCCGGTCTGACCTCTCCTCATCGAGACCTTCCATTTGCTTTCTCACTTGACCCCGGACCACCCCCTCGTTAACTCTCCTCGTTAATACCTTCCATTTGAGAGGTCACACAATACCCTTTAGGACACCTCTTTATTGGACCCTTGACCCCTATAAACATAGGTGATTTTAAAAAAATCCCGCCTGTAGGGTCACGTGACCAAAATTCAAATGCTGTTTTCTGAATTATCGAAAGTTTGATGACATCATTGCGCGCGAAATTCAAACCGTGGTCTATATGAGTCCACTCCACTACTAATGAATCGTCTTTGCAGGGACAGTGGTTGGATGATTTCAGGATATGAGATAGGCATTGTAAATTATTATTTTATGAATGAAACTTGGACATTTTGTGCATATTTTTATGATTGGTCAACGCAACATAAGACATGTACTGAGTTAAACGCTAACTATTTTGAGAAAAGTTACAAGTGCTCGTATTTAGCTTTTGACATCCGTGACGTCAAGAATTTTCGTTTTAGTGCTCCGGGTATTAGTATGTATCTTTTTTGTTTCTAATAAAAATATAACTGTTTGTGCCTTGTTTTTGCGGAAAACTTGCATATTTATAAAATGAAACATGAAGTTAATAAAAATAATAGTTTGAAATATTTTGTCAGTATTCAACAGTTTTTATCAATGTTGTTCACGAACTTTACGGACAACCCTCGTAGATACAGTGATTTTTTTCACTTAATGTTTACTTTATTATTAGAGAGGGAAAATTCTTTCCTTAAACGTACCTAAATAAATGTTTGTCATTAAGTATGATTAAGAGCCCCCTTCCCCCTCGGCGCCTTTTTCTCCTGAAATCAAATTCTTAGTAAGTATTTTCAGTATATTCAAATTGATATTAATGTGCATTGTAAATCAGTTTAAAAACGAACATCAAAACTTTCATGAAACAATAGTAGTTCAAAGTATACATATCCCGAGAGTAGTACATGTATTTCAAATTGGCAGCAAAATGTTTCAAATTCAATTTCAAACTTAATCCTTCTGAGTTTATATTCCCATTATTTATTAATTTACTTCTGCAGAAATGCAAAAAATGAATCTAGAAATGATAGGAAAAAATAATAAGTGACTCTTTGCCTTCGGCATGTTCGGTGAAACGAGTTTTCCCCACATCCACTAGACTGTGTCGAATGATTTTGATTGACAGGACAAACACGTGGATTTCATGTGAACCGTGTGATTTTGATTTTTTTTTATTTTAAATCAAAGCCGATGATTACTGTCAAATGGATTTGTTGAATAAAATAAAAAATTTTTACCGCTTGGATATTAAGCAAAAATAATAAAAGTTTTATTTGATACAAAAGATATCCGAGAATTAATGCTCTCTCTCTCTCTCTCTCTCTCTCTCTCTCTCTCTCTCTCTCTCTCTCTCTCTCTCTCTCGTACACTTCTTTGATCAATAAAAATATAAGAGCACATTACTTATTTAGTTTTGAAAATATAATCCATTTCAAATAACTCGATTGTCTCTTTAAGTCATCTTGTCCCAGCATAATCACCTTCGTAAAATGTCTACAAATACATGTAGAATTTAGCTAAAATAATCATCATAAAAGAATAAATTTGACAAATAAATATATAAAGTTTAGCATTTGAATTTTAAAATACGAGTGTATTTTCGCAATACGCAAGCATAAATTTGTAAATTTAAATAAAAACGGTAAATTTACTCAGAATCGGCTTGGCACGGAAATACATGTTTGGTTGTTTCAACCGCGTACAATGTAAATGATTAATTCTATAAGTAGTAATTTAATCTTCTAGAGTCCAAATTATTTTATTAGTTAAAAGAATAAGCATATCTACTATATAAGTAGATTAATTAAATATTAAAATTAAATTAAAATCGTGTTATTAAAATATCGATTAAAACATGTTACGAATGTGCAGAAAAAAATGTTTCTATTATTTATTTATCTATTGTTTATTTATATTTTAGCATCTGAAATTAGAATTATAGAATAATAGAATAATTTCAATCCTAGGGAAAGATCAGAGGCATTCCGAATAATTCATTCATCTTGCGTCCACCGTTCGTTCACGGTTCCCTACATTCGCGTTCTGCGTTCACTCACCGTTCACATATTGTCACCAAGTTGTGTTCAGCGTTTGCTCACCGTTCGCTCTGCGTTCGTTCACAGTTCGTTCCCCGTTCGTTCCCCGTACAGGTGGGAAAATAGAACGTTTTAGGGACTGTAACTTCATCATTTGACTTTTAAAAAGTTCTGTCTTTTGAGTAGTGTTTGCCCCAAGATGTGGCTACCAACACATTGAAAGAGAAAAAATGAAATACAACGGATTTATCAAAGGACGGCGAAATATTTGATAGTATAAAGAGGAGAAATGGTATTTCTTTCCCCTTTGACCTTTTGGTTGACCCCACAAAGGAAAACAACTTTTGCAGAGTATGGATTGGACTCTTCGGAAGCCTCGTCCCCTTCGAATATCGTCTGTATACAGCTTGGCAGATTCTTAATTTATTTAAACCTAAATTACTTCCAAAATTGTAGACATCCTGATTGATGGCGTCTGGATTGACAGGTCTTTTCTGTATTTCTAATTAAGTACACAGTTTTCCTAAGTGATAATACTTTTTGTGATAAAATTGCTGATCACGAAAAGAAAAAAAAAAACATGCAGATATTGACTTAGATAAAACAGCACATCTTTTTACTACATGTTTTTCATTTCAAGTAGTATACATGTAGTATTTAAATAATTCTAAAAAAAAACTTGCCTGAAATTTACTTACACAGATACGCGTCCGTTGAGCTGAAATTGATTTTACATGGAGGATCGAACTTGGTGCAATCGAATGCAACATGATTCTGGACTCTTTCACCAAGCACATTGAATTCCAGGCAGTAACCTGTAAATAATTCGAAACATATATTTCGTTTAAAACAAGTATTGTAGGGTTATTGAAACTATATTGATGAATATTGGAACAAGTTAGCTGTACATATGCACGCGTCTGCGAATGCATTCGTACATGTACAGCCAACGAGTGCCAATATTCACAAATATAAATTCAATACCCGGTAACTCTTCTGTGATATATCTAGAGCATTTCTAATAATTATTAGAACTAAGAATATCAAATTAATGATTTTTAGCGTCGGTATTCAAATTAACGCCTGTCTGTAAATATTTAATATCGCATTATTTCGATGACCGCACTGAGTGTTACGATTTGCAATTGCTTATTTTGTTTTAGTGGGTCTAATAAGTAATAAATTATTGATGAAAAAATTCTTCATTTTTTGTTCGACCAGATAACTTATTGTTTACAACGGGGCGTTCAATTTGAACGATCGTATTCGAAATGTTTTGGGCATGTTTACGTGTACGTAATAAGAAATCAGCGTTCATAAAACTTCCAGATTGGTAGTATTTTATGAGGGACTATTTATTAACTATATAATAATGAATGTCATTTGATACTTAAAGACATAGTTCAAATTAAGTGAAGTTCGGAAAAAAGTATAGGTATTGTTACATATATGAATCTAGTATCCTTTTGATACGAATGGTCGACTTGTTGAACAAATCAAGAGGAATGACAGTTTATCTCACATTTATCTTGTGCAATTTGAAAATAAAACATCTCTATGGTTTTTGCATTACTTATATATCGGTTAGAGTACACCGAATTGCGAGTTTTTTAATGAGTTTTTATAATAATGTATGAACAAATTAAGAACAACTCATTTTCAAACCGTTCATTGGTAAAATATCATTACCGGTTTGTACATATGTGTTTTTATCTGTAACTTTGTTCAAGGAACACTAAACATGGTGAGATTATTTCTTTATATTTATATGATTTGCTTCCTTGTTTCTAAAATCTGTAATGCAACATATGTACCATAACTTTGAGTTTCCATGGCGCATACTTCAATTGTTTCATTTCCAAAAGTATTGATAACGCAGTGGTATTGAAATCTTAAAGGATCCTCCTTACAGCCGTGTTTATGAAGGTTCCAATATCTATCACAATTTTTCTTTCTAGCCAGTTTGTTTTTCTCATGTTCATTTGATGGACATTGGGCAACTCTCGCCATTGTTACCAGTGACAATTCACCACAGGAGAGTAAGGATGGAGTGGTGTAGTCCTAAGATAAATAAACAACTCATAAAGAAAAATTCATAGAGTCTAAAATATAAATTATGCATGCATGATATCCAATGAATTATGGTCGGGTGTGTCTTTTATTGAAAACGTTTTGCGTTCTTCTATCCCCCAATCTTGGCACAAAACCCGTTTTGACGTCATAACTATAGGATATGAAAAAATCAGTTAAATTGATTGGATAAAGATATTCATTAAAGCTTAATCTTTTTCCTGTGTTAAGCAGTCTTTTTGGAATCTTTCATATGCAGCATATCTCATTTTAATTGAT